GGCTGAAATTCCCCCCCCAGAGCACCCTCCCCAGCTGACATCATACATCCCACTCCAGCCCCAGGATCCTCTGTCCACGCTGCACCCAGCGCCGTCAGCAGCCCCCTGCCCTGGACCTGCCGCTGCCGCTGTAGATGCCACAGCTTCCTCCGTTGAAGAGGGGAGCCCAGAACACCCCAGCCCAGGAGAGATCAGCTGGGGCTCCAGAAGGGCCAGGGACAGAAGCTGAGGTAGAAAAGACTGAACTCTTAAAGGCTAAGGAGATGCCTGGGGGTTCTAGGATACTGAGAACCGAGATTGAGACAATAGAATTGAAAATATTGAGGACCCAGAAGACAGAAATAGGGGGTTTTGAGGGTCCAGTGATAGCTGCTGAGATGGGAAAGTCTGAGATATCGGAGGCCCAGGAAACAGAGGTTAGGGAATCAGGGGCTCTGTGGATAGACATGACACAGCCTGAGATGCTGGGAACCCAGGAAATAGAAGTTGGTGGCTCAGAAATCCCAGAGATAGAACCTAAAATAGCCAGGGCTTAAAAAGACAGAGGTGGGGGATTCCGGGACTTCCAGGCCAGAAGCTGGAACAGTAGAGGCTGAGGTTCTGAGGGCCCAGTGGACAGAAACTGTAGTTACGAAGTTAGAAGAGGCAAAGACAGAAACTTTGGCAATCCAGGAGACTGGGACCTGGGGAGCTCTCACAGTCACTGAAAAAAGAGTTTCAGGGGCTCAGGCAATAGAGGCAGAAGTATCCAGGACACCAGAGACAGAGACTAAAGTTCTGAGGCTTTGGAGGACAGAGGCTAGACTGTTGGGAAAAGCAGAGGCCAAATCTTTGACTTTGGGGCCCCAGAAAGCAGAGATAGCAGTTTTTGAGCCCCTGGAAAATAAGTCTGGTATTTTTGAGGCCCAGGAAGCAGAATCTGGGGTCTTGGGAACCCAGAAGGGAAAAGAAGCTGAGGAAAGCCTCCCAGAAGACAGCTTGACTGAGACACAGGTGGCCAGTGCAATTGAAGATAACATCCAGTCGACCTTTGGCCTCCACATGCATGCATACACACATGCATGTACCCCCATGCATGCATGTACAGGCACACAAGAGATCAAGTTTAGAGGCATTACAATACCTGATTTGAAGATATATTACAGAGTCATGCTAATTAAAAGAGCATAGTACTGGCATCAAAAACAGACACATATAGCAGGACCTTTGACTTCTCTTCACATAGACGGAACTGGTGAAAGAAAGGAGGCAGGGGCTCCTCCAAAGCCCATGTGACCCCTGAGGAACAGATCCTCCAAAGACTGAAGAGTAAAAATAAAATGGTTTATTTGGGCCAACTATATGGTCTTAAACACCCAAAAGGAAAGTATAACCAAAAATTAAAATAATAAGTATATTTCTTTAAGAATCCAAAAAAATTGTATTTCTCAGACATTAGACTTAAGTCCAGGTAAAATGTTATTTAGACAATTTTTTCTCAGCGATGATTTTATTCTTAACAGAAAAAAATATTGCTCAGTTATAAGGCTTCAAATCTTTGTCTCCAATACTATAGTGCCCACCTACAGCTGCTATTGTTCTAAAATGATGACTAAGTTTATTTTACTTTCTATTTATTGATTCTAGCCACTCCACTGCTGAGTTCTGTGTACTAGTGGCCATTCTGCCCTGGCTTTCACACCACACCCATGAATCTTTTCTCTCTTACTGGGAAGAAAGACTAGATCCCCTTAGGAGTAAGAGGGAGCCCATCACGGCCCTAACCATTGGGACCCTCTTTTCTTTGAGGCTGGCCGGAGCAGGAATGAAAATTGCATCCCTGGTGACATGGGAACAAGGACTTACAGCCCTAAGACTGGCCATTGACAAGGAC